CCTGCAATGAGGGGAGATTGGGAGGGGAGAGGAGGGGCAGCCATGAGGGGACATCATAAGGGGAAAAAAGGGGCATCCATGAGGGGATGTCATAAGGGGAGAGGAGGAGAGGCCATGACTGGAGATGGTGAGGGGAAAGAAGGGGCTGCCATGAGTGGAGATAGTGAGGGGAAAGAACGGGTGGCCATGGGATGTGATGGGTGGCCATGGAGGGTGAGGAGTAGTCATGAGAGGAGAGCTGGGGCAGCCATTAGTTGCAAGGTTTGGCAGGGGCGGCAGCTTTACCATGTGGAGCAGTATGGGGCACAGATAAGGGGTGGCTGCAAGTGGAGATCATGAGGGGCAGCCATGAGGGGAGGTCTTGAAGGGAGATCAGTTTGCCTTAGTGATATGGTTTAGTGGTGGATTTGACAGTCCTGGGGTAATAGTTGGACTTAATGATCTTAAAGGTCTTTTTCATCCTGGCTGATTCTATAGTTCCGTGATTCTATGACTCTATGATTCTGTGTTAAGTTAATGTTAGGTTTCTAATTAGGTCCACATTTAGGAATTTCTGAAAATTCTGATACATACTACCTGTCTAGCTGGTGACATACGATGCAATCAGGGACTTTTTTAGTAAGGATTGAATTACTTCATTAACATATAGCATATATTCAGATTGAGCCCAATACATTATGTCTACAAACACCACATTTCTCCCAGAAATCTCCAAGGAACACTTTTGAGCTATCTGTGATGCTGCAGTGTGTCATGTCCTTGTGTGTGTCCAGTGCATGCCCTTGGATGTTAAAGGAGTATCTACTTAGTCTTGCTACCCAACTTGCAGTTCGCAGGTAGATCTTCTTTGGTAGTTTTTCTGGCCAAGGGGACTGGCAGATCTGTCAGACAGTGGGATTTGATTCCTGAACAACTCTGTGGCATGCCATGCTTTTTCACCTGCTGTTATACTTGATACTGGTGCTAAACTTGGTGCTAAACAAAGCACTGCTTTGCACAAAACCTGGGGCGTCAGAGTAATGGAGATTTTCTTCTCCTGGTACACAAGAGAACCTGACTTGAGTGTCTGTGGTTTTTACTATAACATTTGTTAAA